GCTTGTTTCAACGAGCGAAATCGCCGATCCGAGGTCGCGACTTGATTTCGGCGTCAGCGAAAGTCGGAAACGCGCGCGGCCCGCTTGCGCGTCTCGGTTCGACTCGCGCCGCGGGAAGGATCTCGCGCCTTTCCCGATGACGGACTTTCCCACTCTCCGCTGGTAGGAATCCTTGGTCGAGGAGAGGCTCGCAATCGACAACGCCAGCAGCAAGCCAGGACTACTATTAATAAAGTTGTCATGCGGCACGCACGCACGCCGCCGCCGCTGCCACCACCGCTGCCGCCGCCGCCGCCGCTGCCGCCGCCGCCGCCGCCGCCGCCGTCGTCGTCGTCGTCGTCGTCGTCGTCGCAATCGATTCCCTTACGGCTCTTCGACTGTAGATATACAGTGTACATACACGGTATACGCCATGTGATACATCATTCTGATATGTACAGGATCTTTCAAGAGACACGAGCCTGGATAATTGCCGCTATTCATCTTTGTACGCCTCTTGAAGGAAAGCTTGCGGAAATTCAGATGGCAGAAAAATGACACCGATAAATCCCAACCGCGCGCCGTCACGCGACAGCTTCGGACTACCTCGGAGATCGTTGTAGGAAAAAATTTGATCGAAAGTACCGAGAATGTTCCTTTCCTTTCCAACGCATAAAAGATTTCCCTTTATGCGTTGAGAGTTTAAAATATCGTGTTAAATCCGAAAGGAAGAGAGAAAAGCATTCCAGCTTGTACTGCGCGTCGTTTTTCATGTGTTAAAAATATTAAATAAATCCGAGTTATCTCGCGAGTGTCACGTGACCGCATTGAGATGATAGTAAGAATACACACGACAAAACAGAGTCTTTATCATAATTGGTCAAGTGGCGCGACTGATGGTCGCGCATAGCTAACTAATTGCCGATTAATTAGTCCATGTTGATTAAATATGCAATTGCGGTAATTTATGCAAGTTTGCACATGGATAATTGAAGAACATGAGAATAAGTTCTACCGCGTTTCTGTTTTTATATTGCGATTGTGTGCTAATTGTGTATCGTGATTTATAATCACTACATCTTCAAGTTGAAATTTTAAAGCTAAACATTCGAATATCTCGCGATTTTGCAGCAAAAAGACTATTAGATTTTTCACGGAAGCTATATTTAACAAAGTCGATCTTCAACCATATTATTTATAATAAGCTCGTGTCATATGTAAATACGATGGAAATTAAATGTATTTTACGATCGCCGATGACTGGCGACAATTATAATAAGCTTGTTATTATTCATATTTTGCAATTACGCAAACTCGACGTTAAATCTCCGGGTATCAGTAAATATTTCATATACGTAATAATAATAATAATTTAAAGGCTACAATTGTAATAATTAAATACTATTATGCGATACAATGCTAATGATTAATTACACATTACTGCGCTACCTGTACTCGCTGAATATGTATCACGATATACATTATATTATTCGGCAGATCAGCGATAAGTTACATCCAATTGTGAAACCCATGTGTAATGGTCAGTTAATTTGAATACAAAATCGGCCTTTTTTTACGTGCAAGATAAATCATTTCCGTTATATCACAGGATTTATCGATTAGAAAATCGTTAGGAGTGGGAATGTTAATCACATTATTATTATTATTATTATTATTATTATTATTATTATTATTATTATTGTTGTTGTTGTACTTGGAAGCATAGTTTTCACGAGATACACGTAATGAGATAAGAAATCACAAATAAGCATTTTGTCGCTATCAGTGTGATTATCATTCCGTGTCTTTTTTTCCGCACATTCACACGCGGATGTGGAAAAATAACGAAGCTGATTACCAATCGCGATCGTTATCTCGATAACTGAGTTCGTGACGATTCCATTTTTCCACGCTCCATGACCAGTCGCGGATAGTTTTACACCCGGATTACCATCTCACAATTGAAATTTCCATGTTCCAACCGTTCCTTCTTTTAATGCGACAACTTAGTTTCGCAACTTTTTTAATTCGTTAAAGACCATAATTATAATACAAAAGGCTTGAAGCTGACTTAATTGTTCCCACTTTTCGAAACTTTCACGTTACTATCGGAATCTGAGAATTATGTTCGGTTTTAGGTCGAAGAGTGTTTATTAATAAAATTATGTCACGTGTAATAAAAGAGTTCTTGTTCCAGAAACGGGACATCGATCGTCAATGTTTAAAATTAATTTCAAAATTAAAATTGTTAATTTAAGATAAACGGAAAATGATATACTTTGTAAATGATGACTCTTTTTCGTTAATATTCTGTCTAATTTCATAATTTTTTTTACGAGAAGCTATGAAAGAAGACGTGCGAATTAATTGTTATTTGTCCCGTGAGATAAACGAATCGGCAAAGCATGGTGAAGAGTTCGATCGTTTATATGCTCCGTTGTTCCGTACAATGTATAAAATTGCACTCGCTTAGCTTCATCTGCAGTGTCTTTTTCGTGCACACAATTCCTTCTCTCCCCCTCCCTCCCCCCATACACAACATGAGTTTTCATTGTTGCGTACGAAATCGCGATATACTTGACAAGTTTTAATTTTTTTCAACATCCCAAATGTTTAAAATTTTGATACAGTTACAAAACGTCTCCAAAAAAATTCTTGAAACGTTTCTCGCGATTAATATTAATTAAATATAAAGTACCAATTTCATGTTTTAAAGAATTAGTAATGACTTTTTATTTCAGTGAGAATCGATTCAAGCAACACTTCTCGATGGAATTCTTAAAAAATGTTACATTGACGGAAAAAATTTTAATTTGCGAGGGCTTGAACATTTCTGATCGCCATATTTTAATATATTGTATTTCATTCTTCTTTGTAACGTATAAGGAACTCTTTATTCTCAACAGCTGGAATTCTATTATATCGAATTATTCTGGAAATATATAAAATGCTTATAAAGCAATTCTTTGAAGAACCTTAAATCAATTTTTTGTAGCGTAAAACCGTTTGAATGTTTTTTCACTGCGTTATAATTTTTGCAAATCAATACGATATAATGCGTGTCGTCGATAGCAAACGAAACGCTTTCAATATTGTATCAAGGCTCGAGGCGCGTGTCATCGATAATCGCGTGCCGCACGCTTACGCAACGAGTGTTCGCGACGAACGAACGACGAATATAATAAAATAGTGGTCGTGGATCGTAATTGGTTATCCTTCAAATCTATCTTTCACTTTTTGCCGGTAATAAAGTAAAAAAGCTAATCTATAATTAGGAAAATATCTTCCAGCATTCTTGTATACATTACAGTTACAATTGATTTTATCAAATGCTGAACGATCAACACAAAGATGACACTTTTGTCGAGTCACGTTCAATATATTTCTTTCCATGATTACGCGAAACAAACGTAGAGACATTATTCTCGATCGATCCCGATTATTTTTCAAAAATTACAGTTTTCGTTGGCTTATATGGTGCAACTTGCCGTGAGACGCTCGATGCGTTTGTTTGTCAAACGATAAATTGAAAAAGTTCTTGAATCTATTGCGCCAGCTATTCTTCGTATGATTCGAGCGTCGCGTTTTTTGACTTTGGTCGCGCACACTGCATCATACTTCGCACTTGTCGTACGCGCGATTACGCACTTTGCGGGCGATTGATAAATGCTCTTCCGCCCACGCAGCGACAGTCGCGTTTGGAGTTCCTTTGAACGCGAGCTAAGAAGATCACGTTTGCGTCATCATTGCGTTCGCGATTATCTTTCATCGAGTCGTCGAATAAAAAAAATCCTTATCGAAAACACCTCTCGAACGTGCACAACGACCGTGTAATTATATAAAGATTGAATCCGTTAATTTTACAATCTGATGTTGATCTCATCAAATGCAATCTGCCCATATGTGAAAACAAATGAAAAATAGTTTATGGCTTCAACGACATTATTAGTGAGAATTTCACAAGATATTTGTGTATTTCATAAAATATAATGTCCAATTAAATATCAAATTAGAATTTGTTTGATTCTTTTGCTTCAATTTTAAGAAAACAGTCTTGGCGCTTTTCGGAGTTTCAAAGCCGATAGAACGATCCCAACTCTATTCTTTATAGTCTTTGACTATACATTTTACTCACGATACAGAACTCAGACTTGCCCACGTGCCTCGCGCGCCCAATGTTTACCGTATTACGTGCGTTATCGCGCCGGTGCTTTACATATCTGTCTTGTCACAAATACGCGAGATGTTACGCACGCTTTTCTCGCGCGCATCAAGCCTACCTCCTCGTCGTCGAGCGAGTGACAGCGCGTGAATCCAGCCATCCAGCCATCCAGCCATCCATCCTTCCATCCTTCCATCCTTCCATCCATCCACCCATCCATCCATCCACCCATCCATCCATCCATTCATTCATCCACCCGTCCATCCGTCCATCCGTCCATCCATCTTTCCTTCCTTCCTTCTTTTCTTTCTTTCTTTCTTTCTTTCTTTCTTTCTTTCTTTCTTCCTTTCTTCCTTCCTTCCTTCCTTCCTTCCTTCCTTCCTTCCTTCCTTCCTTCCTTCCTTTCTTTCTTTCTTTCTTTCTTCCTTCCTTCCATCCATCTATCCAGCCATCCGTCCGACCGGCCGCTTATCATCTCAATAGCCGTGCGTACATATGAGTCGCACGCACATATACACCTATGTACGCGCGCGCGCAGCGAGACGTCGGCAATCTCCAATAAGACCTGAGTGCCGCCGTCTCGCGTACAACGACGCGGCAGTGAAAGAGAAGCGTATAATACCGGCATACACACGCATACACCACACGCACATCCGAAGAACGTCGTACGAATATACAGATATGGCGTGACGCACACAATGAGAAAAGCGCTCGCGCGCGCTTTCTCCCCTTCTAATCCTCTATCTTTCTCTTTCTCTCTTACTCTGTCTCTCACACACTTTTCTCCGTATGTATGATATTGCACTACTTGACCGCGAATATACGTAAATTCGATAGAAAATAAACGCACTGTACATACCTTGGTATAGTAATGCACTTGGTGTTGCAGCTCTGTGTCGTGATGGCCTTCTCGAGCTCCTCGAGGCCCGCGGACTTTTTCAGCTTCTTGACCAGACTCTTAACGGCCTTCTCGCTCCATTTGTCCTCACTCTCGGCCTTCTTCCAGCCCAGCAACCGCTTGACGATAGGCGGGTTAAAGCTGGGCAGCATCGAAGTCATCATTTGCCCTGAGACAAGCGCACGCGACCCGCATCGAGCCGCTCCGACGGGGTTGTCGTCGCTGGGTGCGTACGAGTTGTATTAACGTGCGATCGCTGTCGCCCACCCCGGGGAACTCGCCGGCTCACGGATTTGGCGGCCGTACGCGCGCCGAATACCGATCGCGACTCGCGCCCCGTACCCTCTGACAAACGCAAAGTGATTTCTCTCTCACGCAGACGGCGAAAATTTTGTCACAGCCGCCATATTGTGCCCTGAGCGCGCAGCTCTCAGCACGACTTGGTCGAGATCACCGATCTTTGTGCCACCACGGAACGAGAAGACTAAAGACACGCGTTCATATTATTGTTATTTATGGTAGCTTTTACTTTCGCATTCTGCCGCTGACGACGCAACTGTGCTTACGGTGGATTTACACTACACCACTGGCATGCATAGAACTTGGACCGGATCTACGATAAGTTGCAAATGCCCGGTCGCGAAGGATAGCAACTACTAATTGAAAAGCGCTATTTTTAGTTATTTCTGGTAAGACGGAGCATTTGCGACGGGACAGTTGGAACTTATTGTAGAACCGGCCTTAAGTCAGCATCAGACTGTGCAACTTGTTGTGTAACAATTCGCACACAGTCGATGGATTAGTCCATTTCCTCATGCTCTTTTTATTGATATTGATTTTATTGATATTCTAAATCGTTCAGAAAACATGTCTGCAAAGTTGCAACAAAGGCTGTATTCCGAAATTCACTGCCAGTACTGAAAATCTACAGTTTATGTAACGTATATTGTAGATTTTCAGTACTGGCAGCGAATTTCGGAACATAGCCATAATATGCAACTGTTGAGCAACAATCGTATATGATGATCAAAATGGTGACATTTTTCTCCCTCAAAGAAAAATTAGATTTACTCGTTAATTATGCACTTTTCTAAAAAACCAAATCTAAAAGCACGATATATGAGTATACTCGTGTGCGTGAAGCCGATGTCCAATAGGAAATTTTGCGCCTTTTGCACCATATTTGGCTCTCGTATGAGTTTATTGACGCTCATCTAACATTACTGTGTTCGTGATGCTTCCGATGCTTCCGATACTTGAAGATAGTGTTATGTTAATTGAAACATATACGTGTATACATGTGTATAGCTATTCCGGCAATTTCTTGTATGTATGATCAAACGCTTCAAGTGATCGAAGGATATTCTCTAAAAAGGAGTAATGCATTTATTTTTTGCTAACTCTACTCAGCAATACAGAAATATCAATTTGTTGGAAGAAAAAAAAGATCACCTTTTTGGATTATCCCTCAATACTTGTAGGTTAACGATTGTGTAACTAAAGACTTATATTGTTCATATTGTCGAAAGATCTGGTGATTGGCTCTATAAAAAAATGTAAGAAAAAACTTGTCTGGACAGGAATAAAGCAGAATAGAAAGGAAGAAAAGTGGTACCGAGACACAATAATCCATTTGTGTTCATCTAAGTAACTGTGGAAAAAAAACAAACATATCACTTGTGCAAATTAAATGATCTCGAGTTGTTATTAAAGATAAAAAAACATTACGTCTATACTACTTTAGAGGCAGTTGAATTAACTGACGCAATATTTTAATGGTTTTAACAACAATCAAATTCTTGATTATATCTAGACATTGATGTCATGGGTTTTGAAGGTAAGAGTATTTATATTAACTTTTTTATAAACTATTATGCAACTTTTTTGAAGATCTTTATAAAAAAATATATACTTTAGAAAAATAATTTTGATATTAATTAAATGTTATTCATATTATTTGATTATGTACTTTCTTATAAAGTTCTTTAAAAAATTCTATCTAATTAATCTGATAAATTAAACTCTTATCAAGATATTTTATCTACTATCTATTTGTTTAAGACGAAAGAAGTGACTCTGACGATGAACATGCTAAATCTCGAAGTGCTACTCCAGATTCGCAAAGATCAGACAGTAATGTAGCACAAAGTAAATCGAAATCAAATTCTGCTAGTCCTAAATCTTCACCTGCTAGGTATTAATCATTTATGCTTGCTTGTTTAATTGTTTATATATTTTTTTTTAATTATAGTTAAATGTTTTAGGTCCAGGCAATCGTCTCCGGTACAAAATGGATCACCAGTTTCTGTTCATTCTAATGCAAGCTCTAGAAAATCTTATTCTAGATCGCCATCCAGATCACTCTCACCAAGTGGATCTGTTTCACCATCAAATGGCAGAAGAAGCATAGTATCTAGATCATGTTCTAAATCCCATTCGCCAGAACCTATGGAAACAAATGCAAGAAATGTCTCCCAATCACCAGCACATTCACATCATTCTGTGAAGTCGGGTTCAAGATCTCCAAGTTCTTCTCGTTCTGCGTCCAGAAGTTCTCATGCAGCAGCATCGAGGAATAATTCACGTTCCAGATCTAGATCAAACTCGGCAAAGCCAAGCGACAATCAATCTAAATGTGCTTCGCCAAAGACAAATTTTCATTCATCTTCTAGATCCTCACCCCAGGTAGTTTCTAAATCACGATCTCGTTCAAAATCACGTTCTCGGTCTCATTCTCGATCTCGATCTCGATCCCAATCCCGATCCCGATCTCGATCCCGATCCCGATCCCGATCCCGTTCTCGTTCTGGCTCTTTGAAGGCATCAGTTCATTCACGTTCCCGGTCGGGTACTCCCAAGTCTTTTCATACAAGATCTAGGTCACGATCAAGATCAGCTAGTCCAAAAGAAATCAAAGGTGGTTCAAGGTCGAGGTCAGGATCTCCATCTGGATCAAAGAAAGATTCTCGTTCACCTTCGGTATCGCCACATCAATCCCCTTCAGCGCCTGTCAGACAATCACGTTCAAGGTCAAAATCACGCTCTGTGAATGATTCTAGAGATGGTTCTCCCGAATTAAAGAAGACCTCCCATTCTAGATCTCGGTCCATTTCAGTGGACAAAAAATCCAAATCAAGGTCTAGGTCGAGATCTGGTTCCGGATCTAGAAAATCGAGATCACCTTCGAAATCCAGATCTTTATCAGGTTCGAGAAAAGGTTCGCGTTCAAGATCGCGATCGAGATCGCACAAGTCTGGATCGAGAAGCAAATCAAGATCTATCTCGGGATCGCGTAAAGGTTCCACATCTCCGGTACGCTCGAGAAAAGATTCGCGGTCAAGGTCTAGATCCAGTTCGCGTTCCAATAAATCTAAATCGAGGTCTCCCTCTGGTTCAAGAGTCTCACGTTCGAGATCACGTTCAGAGTCCAGAAAATCTGTATCAAGATCAAGATCGCGATCTCGGTCGAGATCAAAGTCGGGTTCGAGATCACGTTCAGGAACGCGTTCGAGGTCACACTCACGCTCGCGGTCAAGATCACATTCTAAATCACGTTCGAGATCGAGATCAAGATCCGGATCGGCCGCTAGATCCAGACATTCCTCTCGTTCCAAATCTCGGTCTAAATCGAGATCTAGATCGGCCTCTGGATCCCGAAGGTCTAGAAGTCCGAGCAGAGATTCGGATGGAGTAATCAGAAAACGAAGTAGAGTATTATCGGATTCTGAAGAAGAGACTGATGAAGCTAAAGCAAAGAAACGAACGAGGCAGGAATTATCAGATTCTGAACATGAAGATGGAGACGAAAGGAAAAAGGATGACGACGCACAGCAAGAGGAAGAGGGTGAAGATCATGAAAATAAACAATTGGTTGGGGAAGCTATTAATGAACAACAGGATAATGAAGATTCCGACGATGGAATTATTACCAGTGGTGGAATGTAAGTATATATTCAACTACAATATGTGTATAGATTTATACAAAATATATCAAATCTTATTTCTCTCTAACATAAGAATTAAAAATCTATATAGTTTACATTAATTTAAAATAAAGGATGTAGCATATAATTGTAATATTGAAAGGCACGTAGCTTTTGGAAAATTGAATAAGTTTTACTTTTTATAGAATTTATTTTAAAAAATATACAAAATGTAATATAAATAATATTATCTATTATTAATATATGCTATCCAGGAGCAGCAGATATTTGTAAGTAATAGATTTATGTTTAGGAAGATGATAAACATTTCTTTTCAAAGTATAATCTGTATATATAAAAGAGCTTCCTGACTGACTGACTGACTCATCAACCCCCAACCCAAACGGCTGCACCGATCGACTTGAAATTTTGATGGTATATTCCTACCATGGTGTAGGTGCTCATTAAGAGAGGATTTTTTTTAATTTCACTCTTAAGGGGGTGAAATGTATTTTTACGAATTTCTTTTATACAATATGAGATATCGACTTGGTTTTTGCTTATAAAAGTTTCTCATACAAATGCCTAAAAATCAATTTCTGGATTTTTTGAAATTCCACCCTTAAGGTGATGAAAGGGGGTAAAATGTATTTTTTGTAGTTTTTGTGTTTTTATGGATTTGTCAATATCTTTGAAATTTAACTAAAAAAAATTCTGAATGTTATTGAAACAGGATTTTATGTAATGTAAAATGTATAAAGTTAAATCCGCCCCGAGTCCCTTTAAACGACTTTTGGAAAATATCACTTCCAATACGTATGATTCGGTCACACTATTATCTCGGGCGAAGCCGAGACGGGGGATGCTAGTTATTTTATATACAAGACCAATTCGCAACAATAGTCGACAACAATGACTTATAGATCGTAGTTATTTAATTAGTTACGTCACCACTTTTTAAGTAGCTACTTAAAAAAATATAGCTTTTTGTGGATAATTTTGACACATTTTTTTCTTTTTTTCCCAACATTTCTATCATTCAAGAGCAAAGAATGAATTAAAATATAAGAGTATAGCGGAAGAGTTATTATCTGAAAATTGTACAAAACAGTTTATACATTCATAAAGTTTAATACTTTCAGGGATGACTCAATGTCTGATTTTGATCGAATGCTAGCACGGAAGAAAGAGGAACAATCTCGTAGGCGTAAACGAAAAGATATTGACATTATTAATGATAACGACGATATTATAGCGCAATTATTGTCGGACATGAAGAGTGCGGCTGAAGAAGATAGAAAGTTGAATCAACAAAATAAACCTGCGACTAATAAAATCGCCATGTTATCGAAAGTATTATCGCAACTGAAGAAGCACGATCTACAGTTGGCATTTTTGGAACATAACGTGTTGTCAGTTCTTACCGATTGGTTAGCACCGATGCCTGATCGTTCATTGCCATCTCTCAAAATTAGAGACAACCTTCTGAAACTATTATGGGAGGTAAGATTATATGAGATCTCGCTCAATAAAAAAGTATATTCATAATATATTAATATTATGTTACTTGTTACGTTTACAGTTCCCAAAAATTGATCAGAGTTCACTGAAGCAGTCTGGCATTGGAAAAGCTGTAATGTATCTTTATAAGCACCCAAAAGAAACAAAGGAGAACAAAGAACGCGCTGGAAAATTGATCAATGAGTGGGCTCGACCCATCTTTAATTTGTCTGCGGATTTCAAGGCGCTATCGAAGGAAGAAAGAATGCAAAGGGATCTTGAACAGACGCCTCAGAAGAGAAGAAAAACAGAGGACGGAGGATCTTTCCAAAAATCACAAGATATTAATAAAGCCTTGAAAGGAGATGCCAAGTACTATCGTTGATATTGACTAACAATTTTATCAATTATTAATATTCTGTTATTATAAATGCTTTCCAATATCTACAGGCCGCTGAGACCGGGAGATCCTGGATGGGTGGGAAGAGCTCGGGTTCCTAGACCGTCTAATAAAGATTACGTTATACGACCTGATTGGAAATCGGATATTGACATTAGTAGGGTACGCGCTCACACATATATTTATCTTAAATTATTTAATATAACGGATTAAATTCAATTCCCTGTAAACATGTATATTTTCTCGATTCACACTATTGTTGTACCCAATTTCTCAATTGTGTTTTTATACAATTGTAATATCTTGTTCTACCACGCAGAGCACTAAGAAGCAAATGAGTCGATTCGAGAAACATATGAAGAATTATATAGATAGCAAGCGAATGAAATCTGCAAGAAGAGCAGTGGATATATCCATAGAGGGTCGCAAGATGTCTTTATAACGAAAAATACACAAATACGGTTCAGTCTAATTATTATTAATGTATTGGAACAAATACATGTATAGGATGTATTCTATGTATTATTCGTAACGTCTGTATGTACAAGATTAAGTACGAGACTAAATACAAGGTCAAGTAAACACTTAACATATTTAAGTTTATGTCCGCCTCTCATCTTTTTACTCATTTTTCTACTCATAAATCTTAAATCTTAAATTTAATTTTTTATTTCTAAATTTTATTACATTAATATTTTTTAATTGCATATATTAGTGAAAGAAACATACGAAAGAAATGTACAAAATTTTATTGTAAAAATCCTCCCCGGTCTAGAATTTATTCTTTAATCTTTATTACATATAAGAGATTGATACGTAAAATGTAAAATCAATTTTTTCATATAATATTTTGTATAAACATTTCAATTTTTGTATGAAAATAGTAGAAAATGTGCATTACATGACATTTGAAAGAAGTTAAATGGCCGCACACGAACTTCCGTCATGCAGCATGGCCGTAGTCTCTTTCCGGTTTATCATAGAACTCTACATACCGCACGATGAAGGCAAAGGGCGAAGTAAGTATGTTTTGCAAATTTTTCGCAAAAAATATACAAGATTCACATCAAACACTATTTTTTTTTTACCAGGAGCATCGAATACTTGGTTATAATTTCCGTAAAAATGTTAAATAGTTTTAAAGTAATACATTTACCATGACATAACCTATAAAGTAAAGAATTTACAATGTGCTTTTTAGTTTTTGTTCTCTGCCTTTCTGCTTCTACTCTTGCTAAATAATATTTTTCTTCGGAAATTCAGAAAGTACAAATTGTAAACGATGATATTTCTTGACTCCGTGTGATAAATACGTGAAACACAAGAATACAAAAGGCAAAGAGCAAGAAACAATATGCAAGAAGCACATTGTAGATCAGGCCTAATTGTGCATGCCAACACATACTCAATATAGGCAAATCATAATTTTTTATGAACATGGAAATAATTATTTTTTTCTTTTCTTTTTTAGTTGAAGGAATTTGAGGTGATAGGGCGTAAACTCCCTACTGAGAAGGAGAAAACTACACCTCTATATAAAATGAGAATATTTGCCCCTGATGCAATAGTAGCCAAATCAAGGTTTTGGTACTTCTTGCGTCAGTTGAAAAAATTCAAGAAGTCTACTGGAGAAATTGTGTCTCTTAAACAGGTAGCCATATATCACTTTACATAGTATTACATTGTAATTATTGTAAATACTGATTGTTTTAAGAAAAAAATAATATAACAATCTTTACCTATGTATCTGATAAGCAATGCATAAGCTAAAAAAGAAACTGTTATTTCAGATTCCAGAGAAAACTCCGATCAAGATTAAGAACTTTGGAATTTGGTTGAGGTACGATTCCCGATCCGGTACACATAACATGTACAGGGAATATAGGGATCTCTCTGTAAGTGGAGCTGTAACACAGTGCTACAGAGACATGGGTGCTCGTCATCGCGCACGAGCTCACTCTATACAGATAATTAAGGTGGAAGTTGTTAAGGCTGCAAATTGTCGCAGACCCCAGGTCAAACAGTTCCACGATTCTAAAATCAAGTTTCCGTTGCCTAAGCGAATCCATCACAGAAATCGTATGCCACTGTTCAGTGTTCGAAAACCACGTACTTATTTCCTTTAAGTACGAACGGTGTGTTTTGTATTGTAACATCAAATCTACAATTCTGCAGAAGATAAAAGCACATTCAACATAATCGCTTATAATTATTTTAATCCCTCTTTGTTTCCATTTCTTTCCTTTTTATTTCCCATATGCATTTGTTCAAAAATAAACAATTTTGTAAAAAGTTATGTAAAAGTTTTCTTTGTACCTATTTTTGTATTTTACTTTTAATAGATAACATCAAATTTGTAAAAATTTATAGATTCTAATATACCAATTTATAAATTACAACAAATTTATGTGTATCGCGCACAGAAAAATTAACCAATCCTGCATCTTGCAAGAAAAAATATGGTCCCTTCTTAGTGCAAGATCGACTTTTCTTGCATATGCATTTACGAAGATCTGTCCAAATAGACATTAATACGGTTGTTTTGATCCCTGACAAATTTTCGTTGAAAGAAAACGAATGTGAACGGATAAAAAGTTAAGCACTAATGCGAGCTGTGCGTGGCTGAGGCAAGCCATATGTTTAACGCGGAATTTGCATTTATTCGGTGGATAGATTTCACGTGTCTTTCGTCACAAATTATGACTCATAAAACTAGGCGTACAGCCGGTTCGCATTATTCACCGTACACAACAAGCAAAGATCCTGCGAGAGCATTCGTAAGTCCGCTGCCTTTACTCATTTCGCTTTTGACATTTCGATACTTTAATTCAGATAGAACGATATAACGGAGAACTTAACGTGGAACATCGGGCGAAATGCATTATATTTACATCGAGCATACGCGCCGCATCGATCTAATGTTAACGATTGACGTAGTACGTTCAAGTACGCCACGTTACACACGGGCGTAATTACAGAAATCCACAACAAGGTTCGCGATCCAGGTCAATGTCACGTTGGAAACTCTACGTCTTACGACGATACGCAGCGTTTCGATAATAGCGTAATAAGCAAAATTGCGATGACAATACGTTTCCTACGGATACACCTCGATCAATTTTATCCTCGTATCAAAATAACATTTACGATATCGTCGTCTTGTCGTAACATCTCGTTACCGTTTGTTGACAGGTGATATGGGACAGTTGCACGACGTAATTATGAGCGTTACTCCTCGTGTAGAGTATGATGAAGAGAGTGATAACGGCCTGGTAGTCTGCGACAGATACGTACCAGCCGAATTGTTGGCGGAGATCTTCTGTCACATAGATCACAAGACTCTGTTGAATTGTCAATTAGTTTGCAAGCGCTGGAAGGTGCTGATACAGAGTTATGTCTGGCGCAAGAAGGCAGAAATGACACTGGGCAAATCATTTCCTCGGCATGAGCAAGTACCTTGGGAGATGTTCTACCTCATATGCAAAAAGAAGCCATTCGAGAGGAACTTGCTGAAGAACCATTCCGGAGAGCATGGCAAGAAGCATTGGCATGTTGTTCACGAGGGCGGTGACTGTTGGGCAATCGAGAGACCACCAGCTGGTGTACCAGATTTACCACTGACTGAGCCTGTGTTTGAGGGAAAACAGATCTGCTTCACAACATCTTATTACAACTGTATTAAAACACAGATTGTAGATTTGGTAGCCGAGGGATTGCATCCATATGTTTTGGATGTTTTACAACCACCTATAGCGGTATGTCAAATGTAATACAATTTATATCAAATTTTATGTATAGAGTTATATGAGATTTGATATAGCTAGACTATGTGAAATTAGATCAAGCATGTAGAAGCTGCAATCGTAAATTGTAATATTGTACATGTTGTAGGTGAGTGAATACTATAGCGCTAGGTGGGACTGCCCAGCGGTATACGAATGTCAAGTTAAATTGTTGGGAATTGGAGACGACACCAACAGAAACGTAAAAACATTAGACGAATTTAAATTTCAAGAAAACTTGATAGGTGATAAGCAGAACCAATGGTTACAAGTGAGTATCTATAAAATTATTCGTAGTGATATTTAATGAAAAGTTAAATGTGACAGATATTATCTCCAATTTTTTATACGCTCTTTACACAAACAGGTTTCACATGTGTTTGAAAACTATGGAGAAGGCCTTAGAAAGATTAGCTTCATGCATGGTGGAATGGACCAGTCATTTTGGGCAGGACATTATGGCAGCAAAATGGCTGGGGCATGTATTTGTATAAAAGTTCCTCCAGTTCGGTATAGCTACGACGATGAGTCAGATACACAAGATGAATAAAATTTATTTTATTATAAAGTTATACTATTTCTAAAAACAAATTTTTATAAATGATGTATTTAAAAGTTTAAAATGCGCAAAACTTAATATGTAAATGTATAAAATATTAATATATTATAAATCTTATATTATGAAAAATTAATTTTTCTGCAAAATTCTATCTATTGTAAAATATTAGAGATTATTAATATATTAATATATTTACGTTGCGTATACATAGAAGCTAATTTTCACAAAATAAAAATTGTCAAAATATGACAATGTTTTCTATATGAACATATAATATTGTATAATATGGTTACGAATGTAACTGAAAAGCTATTTCGATCAAATTTTGAGGCGCAGAGTCTTGATGGCACACATACAACTCTTTCGGATGAGGATTTGTGTAGAGACGTCCAATTACCCAAAAAGCTGTATTTTCCCATTCGAACAATACACCATGTTCTTTAACAGCGATTAAGCTTCTATTGATCACGGTTTTGTCTATGTCTTGATTCAACATCTTTTTAAATCTCACTGTATTGTGCAATAATCTATGAATAACGTGCACGCATTTGTTGAAATTGATAATGATCTTATTATCCTTGTCCTTGCTTTGAATAGGTATTGACGATAATAGAATTCCTTCCACCGTGTCTAGATGGATATAGTGATAGAGGTAATTTTTATCACCCGCAGTTAATTTTTTCGGTATCAAGTATTCCGCTTGATTTAACAAATTCTCTCGTATGTTAGATATATCCATTGTAAGCACATGACTATCATTCTGTAAAAAGGTTGACAGATATATTAGTATAGCTATATTAGTATAGATATGTTTGCAACATACGTTATTTGTCTTTGTTATTAGCACATCTGTTCAAATTAAAAATTTTTTATATTGCAATTTTAATGAGTTTCAAACATTATATAGAGCTACCTTATATATGTCGATATCCGAATCACTGTCGTCGGAATATCTTGATGCTGAATTGATCTTTTCTCTAGTCGCTCGTCTTCCGAGAATAGGCATCGCCTCGTCACTCATTTCACTAATACCGCCCGTTCCTTGGCTAAGCGAATCTTCGGACGTTTGTAAGGAATACACTATGCGTAATAATTATATTATGCGTAATAATTTCTGAATTAATATATTCCATTCCTTCTGTACAATTGATAACTTACCGGAACCCGAGATCACAGGACTTTCCTCAGAATTACGTTTCTTTAAGATAGAAGGTAACTCTTGCTTTTTATTAATAGTAGAATTGATAGTTTGCTTAGGCAGTATGTTTTGCATGTCAGACGATTTGATTAAACCAAATAAATTCTCCGTTATACTGGACGAGGCCTTTGTCGTTGTTTGCTCCTCATACAGTATTACTTCTGGCCTAGCATTGGATGAAATCCACTTTGAAGCCAATGTTGTGACTCCTATTTTTTGCACATGCTTCAGTGTTTCCTGAGCTTCCTCCACATAAAACACATCCGGGCCTATCGTGTTATTATACCTGATTAAATAATAAAACTTGGAAAAATGTACTCTTTTATGTCATGTATATGATATATATATATATATATCTAAAATAATGATTGTACACTTACTTTGCAGTACACCCTCCAGATTCCAACAGAACCGCTAATAAATCGTGACCGTATCCGATAACCAGCAAAAACCATTTTCCATTTGGTATCAACAATTGCCCGCTATCGCCACCGTCGACGTTCCCATGATTACAAGACGATGGATAGATCTGTTTCCACAGAACGAGGCACTTGACTTGCTCCTGACTCACCAGATTCAGCAGACCGTTGTGTCTCAGAAACGAGTGCACATCTATCAAATCTTCGTGAGGCAAGTGGGATCCCAAAAGATGACATTTGTGATAAACGCAGCTGCCTATAATGGTGTACAACCTCTGACAGTCCAGGGGATCCTCATTCTATCGACAAGCTTGTTTATCAAACGTCCAGTGCGGTTTAACAATATATAATATATAAAGCTAAAATAAAGCTGATATACCCAATCTCTGTAATCCATAGCTTCCATCTCGCTTAATGCAGCATCTATTTGTATCTGCGCGTCTCTCGGCAGCTGTATAAAACTTGCTACTGAGAAGGCGCTTCTAAATTTATAATTTTCCGTATTTTCTGCACTATTTTGCTGCGTCGCCGGATTTTTTCTAACATCAGTATCTTTGCAGGAATCTTTAACGGTCACTAATCTGTGCATAATCAGTGTGAAAAGATGATCCAACGAAGATTGGTTTTCCTGAGAAGTAAAGCATTTTGTCAAGGACTGGTAAGTAAATTCTAATGTTCTGACAATATCCTCTGTAATTTTGACAGCCTCCTGAGTAGTACAACTAAAAAAAAAAAAACATTCGGCAAAAATTATGTATCAAAATGATTGCTATTTTTTTGTTTCTATTGCACTCTTAAGTAAAACTCACCATTTATCAGGTAAAGCTATCAAAAGTAACTCATCATCGCGAGATGTATACACGACATGCATTTCTTCTTCAGCTATGTAAACAGTTGTGCTGTATAATATAACATTCAATGAAGAATATGTCGTTTTTTACATATAATATTTATATTCGTAATGATATATGCAAATATATATACCTAACAGGTTGCTGGCCTGCTACACCGGGCAACAAATGATTAAGAGTTATAAATGCTCCTCTTGCCGTACACAAGGAAGAATACGCGTTTTTAGTTTCGGATCGCGGAAATGTGTACAATACACCTTGAAACTCCTGTCCCATTTCCGAAAGATCCGCAGTTTTTAAATATATCACGCCCAATGAATAATCCAACAATGATTCCATCAAAGGATTATTATTCTCTTTATTCACCAAATATTGGGCTAATATTGATTGCTAAAAATATATAATCGGCAAATTTTAATCTCATGCGTATCACACACACACACACACATATCTACGTCTTATTTTTTTTTTTTTTACATAAAATCTCGTTACTTTTGGCACATTTGTTCTCGATAACTTTGCAGTAACATCAACGCCAGCTACTCTTTGCAATTCTAATGTTACCTGCAAACAAGAAATTTTTCATCTTTTTTTCTTAAATGACTTCGAGATGATTGATTTAACTTTAGAGCAAATTGGATTTTTCAACAAATTTATCAGTGTCTTACATTTGATGGCTTCGTGATTTCAGATAATATCTGATCTAAATTTTGAGAAGTAACATCGTTTGAATTCACACTCCGCAACCAATCTCCAATTTTTATATTTTTGTTCTTTATAGCTTCACCGTCCGGTATAAATCCTGCTACCATAACTCTCACTTTATCCGAGAATACACCTGGTGTGATACCAAAGTACGCTTCGCACAAGGTTGCCCTTCTTCCCAATTTGTGCCTCCTTTCTGGATCGACCCATAATGTGACTTCTCGCATTTCTCCTGCCTGATATTGTAAATAATTACATTTATAAAGAGAGGCACAATCTTGAATATAATGTCATACACAACATTTTAATTTTTAGAGACACATAATTACTGTAAATAGCATTAAATTATCTGTTTATAGCTAAGTTTTTCACAACTTCTTGAAACTGTTTACTTTTAAATTACCGTTTCACTTTTCACAGTTATTTTTCACCCTCAATTAATACCTGGAAATCTCGAAATGTGACTTCCTTGTTCCCGCTTCCATCTCCTTTCTCCTGAACAAGTGTATTGCCAATTATACTATTGTTGATCCTTTTATTTCTCGTGCTCCATCGCTTACTTTCCTTGCGTCTGATAAGACGGAGCAGTTTGCCAGCTCTTGTGCTACGACGACGTGTCAAATCAGGCTGAGGACTGTTACTCTTGTCCAAAGTTGTGGGATCCTCCAACAAACTTTCTTCTGCAGATTCTATATAGAATACTTCTCCGTTTGGTCTAATCTCCGCCTCCCATTCAACCACAGAACTGTAATTATATTAAGTAATGTAAAAAAAAAAAAAAAAAAAAATATATATATATCTTTCGGAATGCCATGTAATCAAATTACCTATCGGTATCCGAGTAATATGATCCTGTGCTGGAACCACTGTCGCTTGCCCACCAATCATGATCATCTTCGTTGCAGATATCCGTAGAATACGGTTGATCGGAATGCTTGCTTTGAGATTTCAATGGAATGTTTCTATTTTCTATTTCACTCATATTTTATCAAAAGCTTCAGCGATTGCGTGATGGCCGCCTTATTTCACAGCGTCGTATTGTGTAACCATTTTGTAAATAAACCTGAATTTCTCTGCGTGTCATATATTAAGAAAGTATCATATTTTACCATATTTTTTTATAATATCCTGAAGTGCGACATGTGTCCATTACTATTTTTATTTTATTTATTCATCGTATTAATAGTGTGCACAAGATTAATTGGCTTAGGTAGGTTTGAAACCTGTTAAGAATCACCTGAATGGATTTGTAATGCATCGGATATAAAGGCTTGCGTGCAGGTGTGAAAAGAAAAGGAGAGGGGAGAGAACGAACGAATGTGAGATAGAGAAAGGGGGCCAGATACCAATATTAAATAAGACTCATGTATTATACATCAATTTTTTATACAACTTCTACATCTATATTCTGCATTCAGATTAATGCAATATTAAAAATCTATTGTATTAATGTATCAAATTGACGTATTCTCACCCCTTATGCCAAAGCTGTGACTAATATCTAAAAATATAAAAACTGTTAATAAAACACTAATCGATAGAAACGAAAAATTATTCATTGTTATTCGCAATAAACAGATTTGGAAAATTTTAGCAATTCTATTAAATTTTTCATTAAAGATTAGTAATAAGCGGATTATTCGATAAAAACTTTATTGTGTGTGTGAAACACGCGAAACAGTATAAAATATCAGTATAAAAAGGATTCATTTATTCCTACATTTGTAATTATTATTCTAGAGACATTGTCCCGTGTACAACCTACATGTAACCGTGTAACACAAATTTTAAGATTTGACACACTTGATAAAAGCTTGTTTTAGATTGCTTAACAATATACACAATATACTATCAGATGCATGTACAGAGAAATATATATTCTAATAATCAAGTACTGTTTCAATTCATCAATTTTTATAATTTTCTTCTATAAAATATATCGATCAATCGATTTAATAAAGTCAATCTTACTCAATGTGCGGCGTTTGGCGATAGTAACGTACCACTTCCTAGCTCCTCTGCTTATATATTACATACCGATCATATACAATCGATTAATAAAAATAAATACTGCAATGATTTAGCGACGCTTTAATTTTATCGAATTGATTGCTTAAGCCTAGATGCAACCGATCTTACTTCGCTACATTCTTTCTTTTTGTGTGGATCCATCTGAAAACATTTCCACAGCCTTAACGTTTCATCAGCACCGGCGCTAAGTACCGTAGTTCCGTCCGGAGACATGGCGAGGTGCAAAACACGACTAGTGTGCCCCGTAAGTTCTGCGACTTTCGTCATCATCGGATATTTCCAAATTGTTAGCTGATTTTGCGCGTATCCATGTCCGGAAATGATCTCTTTGTAATTTGTAGACCACAACAAAGCACAAACCTGAGATTTTGTATCCACCGCATTTAAACAAGCACCTGTAATAAACAAAAGGTTGTATTCGATATTTTTATCTTGTCGCAATTTTTTATTTTATTTTTTATTATCGGTCGTTATATTTATTTTTCTTACTGCCATATCGTTGAATTTAGTCTATATTTTAATTTATTGTTGTACTTTGCGTATTTACAAGCGATTTCCTCTATAACTTGCCTGTGTTGCAGTTCCAGAATCTAATAGTCCGATCAGCAGTACCGCCACCGCTCGCGAGTATGTTATTCTGCCAAGGGCACCAAGCAAGCGCTTTTACAGCAGCTTGATGATGATTGAATGAATAAATAGGCTGTGTCTGAGAATTTTGTCCAGTGGCCAATGACCAGATCTGCAGCATGTTGTCGTTACCACCACTGGCCAAATATTGTCCATCGGGTGACCATTTCAAGCCACATATTTCTTGATTATGTGCATTTACAGTCGAGATCATATGATCTCGTTGTCTGACATCATGATGCACTATTTTGCCCAATCTTTAAAACAACGATAACATTTAGCTTCAGCTGTGTATGTGTGTGTAATTTTAGTTTTAGTTACAATTCACTTTTAGTGATCTCTAAAATTTTCAATATAAACACATTTAATTTTTAAGTTTCATTATATTCAACAATTAAAAAGCAACAATTTTAAAATTACATTAATGTTATAAAAAATACCAATTAATTATTTTTGGAATTCAAGCTTAAGAGCAAGATAATTGTGTAAAACTGATTATTTGGTGTATTCCATCTGTTACCTGCATCCACTTGATAATACATGGGAGTTCCAAGAAAGAGAACCCACTCTGGTTACATGTCCATTCATAACGCGCATTCTTTTCATTTGACTACAGTCCCACAATTCTGTATTTCCTATCGTGGTGCCCACTGCCAAGTGCGGACCTTCCTGAATCCATGCAACTGAGCACACATAATCGTTTCCTTCCAATCCGAATAATTGTTCTATAGTTCCAGTTCCAGCGTCCCATAAATATACATTGGGACCGAGCGCCACAGCTAAAATGTTGTTCTTTGACCAGTCCACTAAATTTAAATCTGTAAAACATGAAATTTTTGTTCTCAAATTCACTCGTATATTTCATCAATAAGAATATGAAATGATAGAGACTCACAATAATCATCAATGATTTCCGGCGCATCCAATATTCTATCAGAGTTTTGCGGTATATATCTTGTAGAAGCTCTTACACTGGCTGGTGTTTTAGTTTGGCTATACAAAACTTTCAAAGGATTTTGATATCCATCTGGTGGCGCCGGTGCTTTAATCTGGTAAGATAAAACCCTCATGTTATTTATATTACCACCATGGAGATTCTCTCCCATGAGGCGTTGCATTTCTCGTTTCGAAGGACTAATGTCAGATCTATCTCCATCCTGTTCTGCGTTCTGTTGTTGAAGAATCTAAAACAGAAAAAAACATTCAAACACACATGTTATTACAATATATTAAAATATCTTGAAGAAAATAAGTTAAATCATAAAATACTCATTTATGTACCTTATAATGACTCAAATCAAAATTGGTAGTGGATCTTGAAGGAATGAACCTGTCGCCACCATTTGGTGTCTTGGCTGGAGTAGTAGCACGACCTGTGAGAAATTTAAAAGACTGGCTATCTACACATAGATTTAACCAGGTAATAATTGCCAATTAGAACTATATACTACAAATAGCGTGTAAGCATTGTCTAACTTGTACAAATATATAGCAAAACAAACTCACTGTCTTAATTAATTATATTTTTTGACAATATAAATGTTAGACAAATCTTACTTGGAGACTTTCTCATGATTTTGGAAGGAGTTTTCTTAGTCTTGCCATTTTTCATCGGGCTTTTTCCCAAAGTACTAGAGTTCAGTTTCTTTGATGAGTTTAAACTAAGATTAACACTGAAATATAAAGCACATGTGTGTCGAACAATATTTTTATATTAAACATCAAACATGTTCGTATTAAAAATCAAATAATTTGTACCTAAACTCGATTTCTTTCATTCAAATAATATATATTACGCTATCAACAATTAGATTCTATGAAAATCTCAGACTGTTACCTCAAATTCGACGTTTCCGCACATTTCTTCTGCCATCGCGGAATCGGGCCTTTGATAGCTTCGTCCATGCGAGTTAGATTGTTCAGCTCCTTCATATATCTCAGATGTGTCATTATGCAAATGCAAGCAGCTTTTAGTCAGTACACGATGCGTTCCTGGAAAACTTTTCGTTAATTTAAAATAAGACAAACCTCGATGAACATCGATGAACCAACGCAACTGAATCAGCGTGATAAAATATGTACCGAAAAATTTGCTCAAATAAACTTTTTCATCCAAGCTTCATTCGTCAGTGTTCCAAATATGCATGTCAATTTTACGTTGATTTTCTGCGAGACCCAAGTACGAGGGCTACAAGAAACGCAGTGCGATTTAAACGGACAAACACCTTCAGGTGACGATTCAAGACCGTTAGCTTTTAAACGTTCGACTTTCTGCAGTTTTCTTTCGTAGATGTCTCTGTACGCTTCCGGTTGTGTTTAAAATAATGGCGCATTTCTAAAGAAAATTGTCCAGCGTGATACGTACGTATTGGAGGATTCATACTGCGTCCGATCAGTGATGCGCTGTCGTGGGAATAAAGTTGCGTCTGCGCACTTAGCAAACGCTTTGAATCCTCATAGCGTTTTCGATTATACAGGATTTGAACGACCCAGGGTTGGTTAATGACGTCATTGCAACCTCTCCACCAATGAAAGACTTGCATTTATAGTAAAATAGTGATTGATCAACCCTGGGTCGTTCAAATCCTGTATAATCGAAAACGCTATCAGTAAAGCCTTGTGTCCACGATGCTAGAACTCGATCCGAGATCTTGGTCCGAGTCCTCGAACAATAATATTTATACTTGGCTGAATATAGTTAGCGTTGTAATCGAGTTACGATTCTTTACGATGATTTTCTGATCTATGTTATAGAAAACTCATATAGCGTTTTCGAGTAAACGGGGTTTGAACGATC